GGAGCTGGTGTGCACCTTGCGAGGAGCAATCTCGCCAGAAGAAACACGCTCACGAACAAAGTAACAGTCCATCTCCACATGCTTGGTCCGTTCATGAAAAGTGGGATTAGCAGCAATATGAAGAGCTACATGGTTGTCGCAGTAAAGGACCGTAGGTGCACGCTGAGGAACACGCAGCTCGCCAAGGAGAAACGAAGCCAAAAGATCTCACTGGTGACACTAGCCATGGCACGATACTCTGCCTCTGCCGAAGAATGCGCGACAATGAGCTGCTTCTTGGCACGCCAAGAAAAGGGAGCACCACCGAGGTGGATATAATACCCAGTCATGGATCGGCGGATAGTCTGACACCCTGCCCAATCTGCGTCACAATAAGCAGTAAGCTCCAAGGAACCAGTGGACGGGATTAGAAGACCTTGACAGGGCACTGCCTTGAGATAACGCAGGACACGCTGTGCAGCAACAACGTGATCAAGACTAGGGGCATGAACAAACTGACTGAGCACATTCACCGAGTAGGCAATATCCGGCCGTGTAATGGTAAAATAGAGCACCCACTCAATGAGACGACGATAGGAGCTGACATCATCAACGCGATCCTCACGAGGACGAGTAAGAGTATGATTCGGCTCCATGGGAAAATCACTAGGAGGAGCCGCACCCAAACTAGCATCATCCAAGATATCGAGGGGTGTACTTACGCAGGCAGAGAACAATGCCATCCAGTGAGCGGGCAACCTCGAATCCAAGGAAATACTTAAGGGGCCCCAAATCCTTAATGCTGAAGCGGTCATGCATAGTATCAAGGTCAACACCGGTCAAAACGACATCATCGACATAAATCAAAGCGGCAACATACACATCGGAGGCCTCATAGATGAAAAGGGACGGGTCAGCCCGCGAGACGACGAAGCCAAACTCAACCAATGCCTCAGTAAACTTCGCATACCAATTACGGGATGCCTGGCGAAGCCCATATAAAGACTTTCGCAATCGACAAACGCGAGTGTCGCCCTCCTGTGCAAAGCCCGGTGGTATACGCATGTAGACTTCTTCGTCAAAGTCGCCATGGAGAAATGGGGTATTGACATCTAGTTGATGAAGATGCCGACCCTTCTGTGCAGCAACAACTAGGAGGACACGCTCTGTGACTAGCTTGGAAACAGGAGCAAAGGTGTCATGGAAATCAATGCCCTCCAGCTGGGTGAAGCCCTTGGCAACCAAACGTGTCTTGAAACGTTCGATGGAGCCATCAGGATAGTACTTGATCTTGTACACCCATTTGCAGTCGATCAAGCGTTTCGAAGGAACCGACTCCAATGTCCAAGTCACGTTGGAAACGAGAGCATCAATCTCCTTCTTCATAGCGTCACGCCATTGTTGATAACGAGCAGCTTGGGAGAAATGTCGCGGCTCAACCAGTGAAGTCTTTGCAGCCAAGAAAGCACAGTGGTTAGTCGAAAAATGATCGTAGCTAACATAATCATATATAGGAAACTGCACATGAGAGATGACGTACCGGGGAGCTCAACATCATAGGAGGTGAGGCGAGCAAGGGGACGATGATCCCGAGGCGGATTAGGGCGGGGCGACAACAAAGGGTCAACATCAGCACCGCCGGAAGGAACCGTTTCAGGGATTGGAGAAGGAGGCTCCGAGGAGGATGAGGTGGAGGGCTCAGTCGCGTCGGTAGAGGAGATCTCAATCCCAACACGATAAGCAAGCTCAAAATCCGAAGCAAGTGTAGTATCCACAGCAGCAGGTAGCTCCCCCTCTCGACGTGAATCATGCATGGGAAAATCATCATGCAGTACGTGAGGGACCGGAGAGGTGGTGTGGACAAGAGGAGAGGAAGCAGGAGAGCGCTCAATGAAGGTGAATACCGTCTCGATGAAGTGAACATCGCGCGAGACAAGAGCTTTGTGCGTCGTGAGATCAAACACTTGGTAACCCTTCTGGGAGCCAGGATAGCCGAGGAAGACGCGCGCACGACCACGACTGGCGAACTTGTCCATACTATGATGAGTGTCTTTGGTATACACAAGGCAACCAAAGACCCAAAGATGGGAGTATGTGGGAGGACGATCCAACAATCTCTCAAAAAAAGTGAGCATGTCAATAACCAGAGGAGGCAATTGATCAGATAACCAGCCGCAAGGACACAGTCTCCCCAAAATCGAACAGGGAGCCCAACATGAATCATAAGAGCGTGAGCAATCTCAAGCAAATGACGATGCTTACGCTCCACGACTCCGTTCTGCTGCGGAGTGTCGGTACATGAAGTCTGCAGAACAATGTCGTGCTCCTCATAGTAGAGGCGAAGCAAGGCAGTCTGAAACTCCAACCCGTTATCGTCCTTTATACGGCGAACAACCTTGCCATACCGAGTGTGAACAAGTTCAAAAAACAGTCGAAGATAGCGCTCCACGTCAGACTTAAATTTCATCAAATAAACCCAGGTCGAACGGCTAAAATCGTCGACAATATTAAAAAATAACGAGTTCCATCCAAGGCAGGAGTACGATACGGACCCCAAATATCCACATGAATGAGATCAAAGCAACTAGTGATCTTGATAGAACTAGAAGGAAAAGGAGTGCGTGTCTGTTTAGCACGAAAGCAAGAATCACAAGAGGAAATATGCCGAGAATCCAAATTACAACCCAGAAAATCCTTCAAAGACACCAAGCGATCAAAAGAAGGATGACCCAAACGACTGTGCAGAGCTCCTCAGCCTCGCCGCGGCGGCCAGCAACCTTGCAAGGCTGTGAGCCGACCCTAGGGGCATGCGACAGAGGTAGTAAAGACCATCTTGGAGCTTACCGACGGCAATTAGCGTCCTGGAAGGTAAGGCTTGAATCACGCAGAAGTCATGCAAAAATGTTACCGCTACGTTATGATCCTTAGTCAATCGACTCACGGAGAGGAGGTTACATTTGAAATCTGGCATATGTAACACCCTGTCGAGACTAAACGAATCAGATAACTGCACCGAACCCACCCCCTTAACCAGCATTCCTGTCCCATCAGGAATCTGAACCTTAGACATTGCAGACAACAAATCAACTAAACTCAACCAACTGGCATCACGGACTATGTGTTCGTTACAACCAGAATCGATGAACCATTCATATAGTTCAGAGGAATTACCTGTCATGTGTGTCGTGGGTTCAAAAGATGAGCTCGGAGATGGCACAGAGACAGACTGCTTCAGTTGAGCAAATTGAGCTGCAGTGAGTCTAGGAAAAGGACTGTCATCGGAAGACTCCTGCTCAACATGAGCTGCTTTCGATCGACGAGAGCCAATCGGACGATCCTCCCCTTGCTTTGCACAAGGACGACCCGGGGGAAAGCCAATCAAGCGATAACACGTCTCACGTGCATGGCCAAGCTTATTGCAGTTTGATCAACAAAGACGTTCTCGATCTTCCTTGGGCTTCGCATTTGGGTGGGCTTGAAAGGCAGCAGTGTCCACAACAGGACGACGACTGCTAGTGAGAAGGCGATGCTGCTCCTCCGCCGAGATGGGTTGGTAAGCATCGGCGAGGGAAGGAGTTGGGTGCATACTGGGAATCTGTGAACAAACAACGGAGTAGACGTCGTCGAGGTTGAGCAGGAAGTCAAACAAGCGGCCAGATTCACGCTTGGATTGAAACTGGCCCAAAATATTGCAGCTGCAGCCGCCGCACCTACAACCTTGACAAGTGCAACGCGGAATCCCATCGACCGCATCCATTTCATCCCAATAGGAGCGCAATTTGGTATAGAAGGCCGAGACGGACAGTTTCTCTTGACGGAACACAGCAATCATGCGTCGCAGCTCGTAGGCGCGCTGGGCAGACCCACGACTAAAGCGTTTTTGTAGGTCGGTTCAGATGGCGCGAGAGGTAGTGGCGGGCGGTGCGAATACTGTTTCTGACTTCACGAGACATGGCGGTCTTCAGCTAGCCCTTGATAGTGGCATCACAGCGATCCCAAGCCTCCTGGTTGCGGGCGGACCCAGCTTTAGCACGCGGCAACGTCCCATCTACAAAGGCAAGCTTGTTCTTCGCAATTAGGATTTCGGTAAGATCGTTAACCCATTCACCATAGTTTGAATCATTTAACAAATCACTGCCAAACAGTTGAGCATGATTCTCCGAGGGATGAAGATAAAGAGGGGAGCTAAGCGAGATAGCCTCGTCCCCCATGGAGGCAACCAATTTCTCGCAGCCGCCAGAAGCTTCTTCACCCATGAGAACTTAAACAACAAGTTCTGAAATGAACAGCTCTGATACCATGTAAAATAGTTGATTGCGGAAAAGAAGTGACACACGGATATACGTGGTATCCCCGGAAACTAGGACTAATCCACGGAGAGCATAGCTCTCGAGAAGAAACTTCACTAGTCTGTAGGATGAGAGTTTTTGGCTAGGGTTCATAACCCTCATACACGAAAATACCAACCATATATACCACTCAACTATCACGTGGGTATATGGGCAAATTACCAAATACATCACCATAAAACAAGAAACAGAAATACAGTCCAATATCAAGTAAGATTATCAATGCTCAAATACATTCAACAATAAGTAAGAGGTTGGATAACATAGTAAGAAATATAACTGATTCAAGTTTTTCTGGAGTTAAATCGTATATTTTTGTGTTTAATATGAGCAAAATTGTTGAAGATTAAAATAGAGAAAATTATAAAAAGTGAACTTGTATATAAAATCATTTTGTTCATTATTTGTTTATGATTGATAAATTTTCTTTAAAAGTAAATAAAACCATATACTCTTGTACTCGATATTGTTGAAGTCATCAAGAACTAAAAGAAGAAATATGAAATTAAACTTTTTCACATATGTTATTTTTATTGATGATAGTTCAAGTTCATGATATGATATCCCCATATCTACATAACCACATCTATCCCAATTGCTATGCATATACATTTGAAATATGAATCGATTACTCATTAGCTAGAAGAAATAACTGGCAAAGGAACTTGCTTTTCAACCCAAGTTCTTGGAACCAACTTTGAGAATTGATCTCAAAGGCTTTTCACCATCTCTTTGCCCTTCATATGAACCCAAATTTACACTTGATCCCTTCCTTGTAATCTTCTTCTTCTTACCCACATCTATCTCCTCGACCCTGTCATTTATGCTCACAACTTTCTTGGGTGGTTTTGCTTCAGCAGCAAGCAAACAACGCAAAGAAGTACCCCCTATCGACCTAGCTTCCTGATCTTGTGACTTGATCATCTCAAAACTAACCGATGCATCACTCTTCTCTTCACCGAGATCAGCTCGAGATGTCATTTTGCCATCTTGTTTATGATCACCGCTAGAAGAAGAGCAAAATGTGGCCAAATGATCGGATTCTTTTGACACATTGGTTTGATCCTTCTCAATTGGAGTCGCTTTAGCAACAATTTCGCTTTGACCTTTAGCGTCGAAATGGTGAGGTTGTGACGATGAGCAGCCTAAGGTGACGGTTTTGAAGGCTTGCGTCGCCAGAGATCTCATGATGAAGTTGTAGAGCCTGTTGCATATACTGAGAGGCTCCAGATATTGGTGGTCTCTTTGATCCATTTGCTTTGTAACCTGTTTTTTTTTATTGAATGGGTGGGATATAAAAGGGAACAGGGTAAAAGGGATTCCTTCTCCTTTGCTTTGCTTGGAAGCGGCGAGAACATTAAGCCTCGATGGTGAACTCTAATGATGCGGATTCTCGCGAAAAGGGTATTTGCAGTCCCTTGTAAGAATGCAAAGAAGGTTGAGTGTGGGGCAAAAAAGCACTCATGGATTGCTCTCTGATGCAACTCACCTCCCTCCTTAGGCATCTGTTTCTTGTGCGTGTATCTCAATTTATTGCCATGTTTATTACTTATTCGAGATTAGATGGCTTTCTCAACTACTCTTCTGGATTTTTATGCGCTCAAGAGATAAAATTAGTAAATGAAACCTTATACTTTAAATCATGGTATTGTTATAGTAAGTCTTCGAAGTGGAATCAAGATTAGCGTCGTTGTTGGGAAAGGTTTAATTCTGGATCATATACCACATACTAACACATTCCCTCAAACGAAAGCCACCATATATGGGCTTGAAGTTTGCACAGGCATCAGACACCATGTGCTAACAAATGGGGGTTACCGGGATTCGAACACAAGACCTTTTGGTTACAGAAGGCTCTGATACCATCTCAAGAACCAGTTGCTCCCAATAACTCAAGTTGTTAGGAGAGGTTCAATCGTGGATCATATACCACAACACTAACACGCCCCCTCAAACGAAAGCCACTCACAAGGGCTTGAAGTTTGCACAGGTCTGAAGACAAGAATATCATGTGCTTAACAAATGGGAGTCACCGGGAATCGAACAAAAGACCTCTCGGTCACAGAAGGCTCTGATACCATGTCAAGAACCAGTTGATCCCAATAACTCGAGTTGTTGGGAGAGGTTCAATTCTAGATCATATACCACATACTAACACTATGAAGTCCTTTTATGCTTCCAATTTCGATATGCTCTTTTGCAATGTTTTTGACCTCTGGTTTGCTCCGCCTCTCATAATCCAGAGAGGCCGTCTTTTCTCCAGCAAGACATCATGAATACTCATCACCGCCGCCGGAGCTTATGTCTTATAATGACTCCCCGGCCGCATATAGGGACCCCCTGTGTGATAATTCGACATGAGTTTTCATCGTCGTTGTGCAAGCTGATTGGATAGTGCACGACGTGTCTTTCCGATTGGTGAGTTTCTTCCAAGCTTCCGTCGTTCCGTCGTCTCCGGTGCCGGTGAGGTCATGTATCCCATCGTGTACGAGCCCATCCGCTGGATGCACTCATTCCCTACACGTGTCTTGTTTGTGTTTGTTCTTATCCCTAATCATTATCTCACACAACGGTGTCAGACTTAGGATAGGATCAGTAACCATTGATTACAATCCTATGAGTAACTAAATCTGAACCTTTAGATCTAAGTGGGCCTAAAAATCTAGATCTAAGGGTTGTCAATTAAAGGCATTTTATTTTCCCTAGTTTTCATGAAAAGGCTCTTATCTTCTTCGTTTTAATTCGGATTTCAAATTTTTTTGCATAGATGGAACGAGTTCGTTGTGCTCTACACAATGAGATCAATTTTCAGTATATTTCGAGAAACTTTTTTTTACCAACTACATACCATATGGTAACTTTTTCGTTTTTAAGTCGTTTTTGAAAACGTTCGCTAAGAAGGAACGAGTTCATCATGATATATTGGATCTACCAATTTATGGGTAAAAAAAATTCAGGACAAAAAATTACCATACTTTACCACTATGGTATGTGAGTGGTAACTTTTGGTAACTTGTACCCTGTGTTTTTTAAGGGTGGAAAAGGAGGGGAGGGAAAGATTAGGAAGGAAAGTGGGGTTACCAATAAGTTTTCCCCGGTTTCCGAAGGAGGGCACAATAACAGAGGGAGGGAGAAGGGAGAGAAAAATCACTATACAACCCTCCCCTCCAAATCGGAGAGAAAAGGCCATGAATGCATTTTTTTTATTTATCAAGCCAATTAATCCTTCTAACTTTTCCTTTTTTATTTGCCAGCCCTTTTCTCTCTCCTCTCTCTTCGTTGTTGTCTTCTACGTTCTCTCCAACAAACTGAAACAGAGAAAGCCATTATATTCTTCTCTCCCATAATCTATCCAAACTTCCATCCCATTCACCGTTATTCTAGCGCTACTAATTAATTTTAGATTTTTGGCTTTTTCCCATCTGCAGAGTAGTGAGCAAAAGCCAACGATTGTGTTTAGCAGATGAGTACTGACTCGCTGTTACTGTCACTCTAGAAATTGGCCAAGTGTAACCACTTCCTAAAGCGTAGTATAGCGGGTTTGGGTTTTAATGTCAACCCGGGTCCTAGATGTGATGACTACTCAGTGAATTCGTATTATCTAGCGATGAAACTTTAGTGAAGGTCTAAACTAACAAGCAAGCAAAGCAACTAAACGGTTGGTTTCAGGTTAAGAGAGGTCACCCGGATATGGTTCCCCCTAGACTGCAGTTAAGCCGGATTGTAATTGCCAAGTTCGATTTCTATGAAAGTTATACTGCGGAAGGTTCTCAAACAGTCTGAAGTCTCGACCAAAGGTCTTCAGACCCTCTCAATCTGAGTCTCTAGCTGGCGACTAACCTACACCGGAGTAAACAGATTGAGGCCCTATGAACAAAACCTCCACTACCGAATGGAATTCGGTACAGAATAGTGAACTGGCTCCTCGACTAAAGTCACCAATTCACTACCTTCGATTAAGGATACTCTATCAACCTAGGCAGATATTATCATTCTAGGTTAAAGCAGAAACAACAGGAATTTGATCAGGATTCAAGTCATTCAATCATTCAAACCTCAATCGAATATAATCAAATCATAGAAACAGTACTTGGGTTCATACAATCAAACCTAACATGCAGAACTAGGGTTTCCTACACCCAGATGAATGGGAGAACTACTCCATGGAGAGAGAAGCAAAAGCAGAATAAGACGCGGAAATCATACTGTGAAGATGGATTTCTGCTCCTGGACGTTGAATCGGCACTTCTCCAAGCTCAAACCAAGCTCCAATGGTGTTGAAGATCGATCTAGGGCACTTGGAGGCTCTTGTTCGTCGCTTTCTCTCTCTAGGAACCGCTCTGTCTCTCAAAAACTCGAATCCCCTTCTGTTTGGCTCGGAATCCGCTTAAAAACCAAACTTTCCCCGAGTTGCACGGCCAGGTGCACGGCCGTGCACTACACCATTCTGGCCGTGCAGCTCTAAAACGCAGCGTATCCACTTAAGTCGACTCAGCCATCTTGCACGGCCAGGTGCACGGCCGTGCAAGTCTGGATTGTGCCCGTGCAAGCTCTCGCACCAACCCGCACGGCCAGGTTTGTATGTTGCACGGCCGTGCGGTACTCTGCTCTGCCCGTGCGTGGCCTCGGCATGAGGCGCACGGCCATATGGCTCAAGTGCACGGCCGTGCGGCTCCATGGTCTGGCCGTGCGGCTCCCCAACAAGCTCGCCCTTCGTCCGTTCGTCGTCCAATCGACCCCAGACTCGCTCCTAAGCCTTCATTCACGTACTAGGACCTGAAATAACACAAACAAGCACAACCTAGCGTGAAATCGGCCTAAAACACGAGAATCAACACCTCAAACGGAGTAAGAGCAGGGGTAAAAACATGTGTAACTAACGGTCTATCAAGTACTTAGCAAATTAGCCGGTTCCCTTGTTAGTAATGGGCTTGTGATGGCTAATCTTCTATGTTTTGTCATTATTTATGTCAAATTGTTATGGCTAATGTTCTATTTTTTTATTTATTAATGAGGTAGAATGAGCAAAAGAGCGAAATGTAAGTTGAATAATTTTTAATTGATTTAGAATGCTTGAGTATTTATTATAAATTCTCTATTTATAATATTTTTGTTTATTAGTCATCGGTTCATTAGTGGGTTCACCAACGACTTAACACCGGTTAAAACCATACCATCGACAATTAGGCTGGAAAACCTCCTATCCTACCGGAGTCTAAATCGATATGTGATTTTAAACGTATAAAATAATTGATGTGGTTAAATCACGATTTTAAAACAAAATATCCTATAACTAATTTTTCCGATACAATTTCTAGTGTCGTTCAATGAAGAAAATACAAATTTAATTCACAATTCATAAGTAGAATATTAACATACAAACAAATTATTTTCATATTATATAACCAATAAAATAACATATTCATCACACTTCCCAATACACACTTTTCTTCCCACTTTCCTTCATAAAACAACATTTTCCTTCCAATTTCCTTCACCTCCAACTCTCCCCTCCCTTCCTAATTTTCCTTCACCTCCCCTTCTTTTCCTCCCTTCCTTCGGAAACAGAGGGGTAGTAAACAATGATGAAAGTCGTAAATGATAGGTAGTATACTCATACTATCATGTATTCAACCTTCTTACCATATTGGTATGTTCATACCATCATGGTACGCTTTCTTACCATATGGTATTAAATAGGAGCATACCATATGGTAATGACTAGTAAAAAATAATTCAATTTTTTTGTACTAAAACGCAGCGTATCCACTTAAGTCGACTCAGCCATCTTGCACGGCCAGGTGCACGGCCGTGCAAGTCTGGATTGTGCCCGTGCAAGCTCTCGCACCAACCCGCACGGCCAGGTTTGTATGTTGCACGGCCGTGTGGTACTCTACTCTGCCCGTGCGTGGCCTCGGCATGAGGCGCACGACCATATGGCTCAAGTGCACGGCCGTGCGGCTCCATGGTCTGGCCGTGCGGCTCCCCAACAAGCTCGCCCTTCGTCCGTTCGTCGTCCAATCGACCCCAGACTCGCTCCTAAGCCTTCATTCACGTACTAGGACCTGAAATAACACAAACAAGCACAACCTATCGTGAAATCGGCCTAAAACACGAGAATCAACACCTCAAACGGAGTAAGAGCAGGGGTAAAAACATGTGTAACTAACGGTCTATCAAACTCCCCCACACTTAACCGTTTGCTTGTCCCCAAGCAAACCTAACTCAAACCAATGCAACTCTCCAGACCTCCA